CGGCCGCTCTGCCCTGCGCGCCGGGAGAGCAGCTACTGGGTAAGCGCCCTGGTTCATTCTGGAGTGGCCCGAGTGCCAGGAAACTTGGAATGGGAGCCCTGACAGACGGTCCAGGATGCTCCCCACTGCTCTGCTTTCTCCTTCCTGAAGCACTGGGGAGAAGGCCTGGCTTCCTCCTCTGGGAGACTTGCGGGGACGTCAGGCCTGCAAGGCAGGGAAAGCCACCTTCCAAGAGGGAAAATGGAAAAGTGGGAGTGTCGGGAGCCTGAGCAGGCAGGACAGGGAAAGAAAAAGGAGTGGGGGCAGGAGATGGCAGGAGGCAAAATAAATTCAGACAGAGTGAGGGAGAAAGAAGCCCTGTGCTGAAGAGGAAGAAAGGGGGAGAGAGGTTCCCAGGAATACCCAGTCATTAGATCTGTCCTTGGGCTGCATATTTATACGGTCGAGGGGGTGCACAGATGGGCTCTCAATTGAATTCCATCTTCAACACCATCAGAGATTGATTTTGTACTCGCTTTTAATTTTGCCATAATTAATTAGATCATTACAACTGTTTGCTATTGATCTCCCTACTTAAACCTCTCGTGCGGAGGGGTGGCCCAGAGCCCTAAAAGCCCAGGAGGCCACAGTTGACACTCTTGGGGGCCCAGGTTCCCCCGAGGGATTGAGGCCCCCAGTGGGAATGGAGGTAGCCCAGGGACTGGGCCAAGATTCTAAAGGAAGGGCAGTCCTGAGGGTGGAAACTGGATTATCAACCGAAAGAACTAGAACCTGAGTAGGTGGAGTGTGGGAGAGGGAAGGGAGGAAGGAGATTTGGGGGAAAGGAGGAGTGTGGCATAAAGGGCCTGAAGTTAGTCCTTGATCTCTGTGGAATTATTTGGAAAACTCTTGGAAACCTGATTCAAACTTCTCCCTTCCCACCAAGCCCAAACTAAACTTGGGTCCCTAGCTCTCCACCCCTGCGCTATTGCCTGGCACCTAGTGGGCTGACAGAGTTGAACTGGCAGACCTGGAGAAGAGGAGAAGAAAGGGCAAAGGTGGCTGCTCTCTTCTCCCTTAGTTTTTTGGGTAAGCAGCTTCAGATTCTTCGCTCGGACTGGGTCCCCTGGGGCCTACCATCCCTCCCCATGCCCCAGGCCTTTCTTGAATTGTTTAGTTCAGGGCAGAGCCTTCTCCTCGCGTGTTAGGCACATATATCTGCACCAACACTTACACTTTGGCTCCTACTCAAATACGCAAGATCTTCACATATGTGCACACAGACATGTGCACACAGCATGTCCTCACCAGCTAGCACACATGCACACACACCCACATGCCATTTCGAGTAGAAACTAAGGCCTTCCCAGTGCTTCTAACTTGAAGGAAGTTGTACAGAATATTTATACTGTGTGTGAACATCATGCCTTGGGGATTCTGGAAGCCTGAGGGAAAGTGGAAAGATAAAGTCCTAAATGCACAACAAAAAGGAAAAGCCAGGTTCTGCAAAGAGACCAAGAGAAGTTGTAAAACTCACATTTTCTGGGTAGAAAGTTTTTAGTAGATTTAGAGGACACTGGGAGGGAAGGCCCAGGAGGCCCAGTGGTGGGAAGAGGCCGCAGAGCCCAGTCCCCAGTCGTTACAATGGCCCTACCAAGCAAGCACAAGAGAAAAAAAAGGAGTGGAGTCCGCCCTTGGCTTGGCAGCCCCCATCCTTCTCAGTCATCCCCCTTGCCTGTGGCGCTGGCGATCGCTCCCGGCTCTCACCTGCCCGGCCCACGCGCTGTTCCATGCTCTTCTGCCCTCCGCTGCCGTCTGGGCCAGGGTCTCACTTCTCGGTTCCACCGCTGCCCGACAGCGCGTCTCGCCTTTGCCGCCGCCGCCGCCGCCGCCGCCGCCCAGAGATCTGCGCGCAGCCACCCAAGACCGAGCGGCTCAGATAACCCAGGCTGCCCGCCGCTTTGGCTGTGCGCTCCGCGCCCGCGCTCACACACCCGGTCGCGCCGAAACACAGTCACGCGCGGGGGAGCCTTCAGCTCTCCGCTGGCGCACACGCGCGCACACGCCCCCAGGCCCTGAGCCAGCAGCAGGCAAGCGACACCCGCGCTACCAGAGGCACCCAAAGACCGAATCCCCAGCCTAGACGATGGCACACCCTCTCACCCCACCCCCTCTTCTTCATTGTCACACACTCCCTGTCAGTCTACAAGCTCGAGTGCAGGGGCGTCTTCACCCTCATGCACTCTCAACTTTGTACCGTTTTCCTTCCCCTGAGACTCACAGGCTTCCCGCGAGACTCACAGAGCTTCCCCCATCATACATTCCCCATAATCATGCTCCACAGCCTGCCTCAGTTTCCAAGATCCCTTCCTACTATTCCAACTTTCTTGGTTTGCACAGTTGCTCCCTGGATGTCCCTGTCACTAATACATTTCAGAACTGCTCACCCAGGCACTCTCCTCCTCCGGATTAAAAAAAAAAAAAAACCTCAGAAAAGGAAAAATCCTTGCTTTCTTGCCTTAAGAATGTGATGAGGGCCCCAGGGAAATGGAGAATGACCAGACCCCTCCCAAACTCCTGCCTCATTCAGATGACCACCCACTTGAGCCACCCCATTCCACAATATTCTGGTCCTTTCACCCCAAGTCTCTTGGACCCTCAGACTCACACCCTGTCCAGGTACACTCGTATTCTTTCATTCCTAATTGAAAGTTCATTTTAGCTTTGTCCCACATTATGCCCTTTCATTCTAGAGTTTACACCTCTCACACCTCTGTCACAAATTCTCCCTCAAATGCACCCTCTTGTATTCCTACTACTTACACACTCACCTTTTAAGCCCTATTGCACCCACGCCCACCCCCCATGAACCCATTTCTCATTTGCCCTACTTTATACCCCCTCCTGTTCGTCCTGGGCCTCCCACTGTCACACAGCCTTGCTCACACATGCTGGGTAACACTTAGAGGCTGTCAAGAAAAGTGCTGGGTAAGCCTCAGTGTATAGGCAGGGAATTGTGGCTGGTCCCAGCTCCATCTTGCGCACACACACTTCTAAGCCTCAGGCAAGGGCAGGGCCCAGGGCCCACTGAATCCACTTAGGTTGGGAACTGGAAGTTCTTCATTGGGAGTCCCATCTACTTATGCTGAAGTTCTTCTAGAAAGGTTGTGCAGCTAGGGACAGGAAGCTGGAGAGGCACCGGAGCCCAGAGGCAACCCCTAAGTCATGGTTCCTCAACTTAAAATTTAAAAATCTTCCTACAGGCACGTGAATTTCTACCCTTTCAGACAAAGCATGACCAAATTATCATCTTGTGATTTAAAACATCAGACTTTGCCAGTGTCTTTTTCTTTCTTTAATCAAACTGATTTTCTGATCTAAGAGCACAAAAACTTAAAAGCACTCTCATGTGGTTACTCCATTACACACACGTGTGATGTTCACACACATAGTTAGCCTCTTGGTCACCTCCTCAGAACCGCACCCAGTCACATACAAGGGCCATGACCCACTGAGTCACTCCTTCACTGCACAGCTCTTTGTGCCTTTGTTACCTCTTCTCTAAAATAGTGGTAATAATCCTTGCCCTTCTCACAGGTTCCTCACAAGATAACTATGTGGCAGTGATTGGTAAAATGTGAAGTGTGATCACAGATACACACATTCCTTACTCTTGCTCCTGTATTATCAGGGACAGGAACTGAGACCCAAAGTTCCTGACATGCATAGCAGGGAGGCAATCACTGGGGAACCGGGTGTTTTGAACTGGGAACATACACGCGCAGCTCGGTGTCCCTGCCCACTCCTGAGGCAGCTCCACAAAGTTACCTGAACACAGGACCCAGGGTTGGGGTAGTGCCAAGGCTGGGGCCTAGCCTTAGGGGAAAGTAGCTGAGGCCATTGTGCTAAGCAGCCTGTCGCATACCAAAGGGACCAAGAGGAGGAAGGAGATATCTTAGCTCTTGGGTCTGATACTCTTGGAGCCTTGGAGACTCCAGAAGCCTGCAAAGTGATGCCAGTCAAAGGGCTCCACACCTCAGCCTTCCTCCAGCCTCCTCCCTCAGGCTCTGCTTCTTTGTCTTCAGCTCTCACCCCTGTCCCACATTGTTTCTCAGGCCCTTTTGCTCATTGCCCGCCCCATTGATTGAAAGTCTCTCTCAGGTTCTCCAAGGAGTCTCAGAAAAAATGATCAGCCAGCCTATTGATTCTTCATTAGAATTACATTTTCACGTGTGCTAAATTGGTTTTAAAAGCTTTTTCTGTTGTTATTGTCTTGTCAGACCCTGCGGTCCAGGGCAAACCAAGTTTAACGTTGTGGCTTCTTAGGGGAAAAAAAAATCACCGGAGCAAGGTCTGTGATTACTTGCTTTCCTGCCTTATTGTTGTCATGATAACAATTGTGATTTGGTTTAAGTATCTTTAAGAAAGGGGCCCTGCAGGAGGCTGCTCAGTTCAGGCTGGGGCTGGCTGGTGAGGTGGGTATATGTGGAGAGGGCTCTAAAACCCCTGGAGGAAGGACACCAGAGCAGTTTTTCTTTCCTTGAAAATTAAATTTAGCATTTGAACCCATCTTAATTGCTTCTGGGACAAGAGAAAAGGTGAAAGTTTTAAAAATCACTTTTATTTTCTCCCTTTACTTACAGATTGAATAGAAGAGAAATAGAAAACACAACTGCACTTATTCTAGCTCCCTCTCCTTTCCCCTAAATAGCTGAGGAGGAGATGTCAGCCTTTCACAAGGTGCTGAGGGAGAGGTTGCAGTCTCCCGCTTTGTAGCAGGGTAGAAGCCCAGTCACAACGACACTTTCAATCATTACACTCTGCACTGGAGGAGAAATAAACCCAAATGAAGGGGGGAAAGCGGGAAGAGAGAGGTAGAGACTCCCTTAGAGAAAAGGGATGGGACTCAGATGAGCGAGAGAGAAAGAGAAAAACTACAAGGGACAGTGTGAGAAGCAGAGGACAGAGAAGAATGAAAGGAAGGAAGACAGAATAAAGAAGGAAAGAAGGGCGAAAGAAGAGAGACTGGGAAAAGGAAACGTAA